GCTGGGATTACAGGCTTGAGCCACCGCGCCCGGCTAGAGATCTTTTAAGAGTTATACAAGCCTGCCCATAGACATCACTGAAGACATTCTTGTCTCCCAAAACTACTTAATTGAAACTGTAGTTGGCTCACTGGGGAGCCACAGCCCAGTATAAAATCAAGAATAAATGAATTGGAGTAACTACCTGACCTTTGGAAATTACAGGTCATGTCTGTTTCCATATGCACCAGTTTATTTAAATTAAACTGTCCCTCTGCCAGCTCTTTCAAGGTATATTTGACAAATAAAAATTCTATATGTTTATGGTATACAACATGATAATCTTACATTTACACTGTGAAATGATTATATCAAGCTAATTAACATATCTATCATCTCACATACTTATCTTTTTCTGTGGTGGGAACATTTAAGATCTATCCTCTTAGCAATTTCCAAGTATACAAAACATTATCATTAACTATGGTCACTATGGTATACAATGTCTTCAAAACGTATTTATTCTGTCTGATTGGAACTTTGTGCCCTTTGGCTAACATCTCCCCACACCCACTCTACCACCCCACCGCTCCCTAGCCCCTAGCTTCTATGAGTTCAACTTTTGTAGATTCCACATATAAATGAGATCATGTAGTATTTATCTTTCTGTGCCTGGCTTATTTTACTTATGTTTTCCAGGTTAATCCATGTTGTCACAGATGACAGGATTTCCTTCTTTTCAAAGGCTGAATAGTATTCCACTGGCCTATACTACATTTTCTTTATTTATTCATTCATCAATGGACACTTAGGATGATTTCATATCTTGGCTATTGTGAATAATGCTGCAATGAACATGAAAGCTTAGATATCTCTTCAAGATGCTGATTTCAGTTCCTTTCGACAAATACCCAGAAGAATGCTCATAGGTGAAAGTACTAATCTGGATCATATGGTAATTATATTTTTAATGTTTTGAGGAACCTCCATACTAGTTTTCATAATGGCTATGAGTTTTTTAAAGTTGAATTTAGTAAAGCAACCGGACAGCTTTGTTGATGGTCTTCCTGAGGCCTCAGTTCAAACTGATTTTCATTTTTGACGGCTAACTACTTATTTGACTTCAGCTTTTAACAACAAAATAGTGTTTCTCTAAGGGTGTGTGGGGACTCCTGCATTAGAATTGCCTAAGAAATTTTTTTAATATCCTAGATATTATCTGATGTCTGGTAGTTTTCTCAGTAATACTACATGCTTAGCATGTTCTTTGTATGATATAGGATGGCTTAAGAACCACTCAAGGTTCTATTTCCAATTAAAATGTAGACAGTTGTAAAAGACTGTTACCCATGCCAAGAAAAAAAAATACTGTACTTTTTAAAACCAGTGAACAACGAAAAGAAGGACATGTGAACTAAATTCCTAAGAATACTGGACATAGGGAGAAAAGTGATTGAAAAATGTAAAGGCAAGTCAATAGAAATTATCTTAACAGAAGCACAGAGAAGAAAAAGATTAAAAATTAAAATATTAACAATTTGAAGGGACAATAGTAAATGGTTTAATATACACGGATATATTTTTTGTCCTTGTTTTCTGGAATTGGAGTCCCAGAAAACAAGGACAAAAAAATGGATTAAAGAAATATTTAAAAGTGTATAATCCCAGGACTTTGGGAGGATGAGGTGAGCAGATCGCTTGCATTCAGGAGTTTGAGACCAGCCTGGGCAACATAGTGAAACCTTGTCTCTGCAAAAAATAAAAAGCCAGGCATGGTGGTGTGTGGTCTTAGTTACTGAGGAGGCTGAGGCAAGAGGATTACTTGAGCCTAGAAGGTCAAGGCTGCAATAAGCTGTGTTTGTGCCATGCATTCCAGCCTGGATGACAGAGCTGAGGCCCTGTCTCCAAAAAAAAAAAGTCAAAGAAAAAAATACACTTGGGGGACTTCCGCCAAGATGGCCGAACGGGAACAGCTCTGGTCTGCAGTTCCCAGCGAAAGCATGCCAGAAGATGAGTGATCTCTGCATTTCCAGGTGAGGTATCAGGTTCATCTCCTTGGGACTGGTTAGACAGTGGGAACAGCCCAAGGTGGGCAAGCTGAAGGAGGGTGGGACACTGTCTCACCTGGGTGGTGCGAGAGGTGGCAGATCTCACTCTCCCATCCAAGGGAAGCCATTAGGGACCTCTCCAGACACTCTGGCACTCCAGCTCAGATACTGCGCTTCTCCCACAGTCTACACAACCTGCAGACCAGCAGACTCCCTCCAGCACCTACGGCGTCAAGCCAAAATCCACTGGCTTGAAATTCTCAAAGCTAGTACAGCAGCCTGAGCTCGACCTGGGACAATCGAGCTTGGTGAGGGGAGGGGCGCTCACCATTGCTGAGCTCTGGTAGGTGGTTTCAACATTGCCTGTGTAAACAAAGCTACTGGGGAAGTTTACCCAGCAGCTGGGCAGAGCCCAGCATGGCAACTCAGTGAGGCCTCTGCAGGCAAACAGTCAAGTAGATTCCCTTCTTGCTGGGCAGGGCATCTCAGAACAAAAAGATAGCAGACTGTCAGGGACATACAAAGGCCTCACCTTCCTGGGACAGAGAACCTGGGAAAAGGGGCAGTTGTGGATTCCGCTTCAGCAGACTTAAAGGTCCCTGCCTGGCAGTCCTGAAGGGAATGACAGATCCCCCAGCACAGTGCTTGAGCTCCCTTAAGGGACAGGCTGCCTCCTCAAGTGGCTCCCTGACCCCCTGTGTGTCCTAACTGGAAGACACATCATACAGGAGAGATCTGGCTGACATCTGGCAGGTACTGTTTTGTGATGAGGCTACCAAAGGAAAGAACAGGCAGCAATCTTTGCTTTCTGCAGCCCCCTCACCCCCATGGGTGATTCCCAGGCAAGCAGGGTCTGGAGTGGACCTCCAGCAAACTCCAGCAGACCTGCAGCAGAGGGCCTGACTGTTAGAAGGAAAACTAACAAACAGAAAGAAATAGCTTCAACATCAACAGAAAGGATATCCACTCAGAAACCCAACCCAAAAGTCACCAATTTCAAAGACCAAAGGTAGATAAATCCACGAAGATGGGAAGGAACCAGCACAAAAAGGCTGAAATTGCTAAAAGCCAAAACGCCTCTTCTCCTCCAAGGGATCACAACCCCTCACCAGTAAGGGAACAAAACTGGATGGAGAATGGGTATGATGAACTGACAAAAGCAGGCTTCAGAAAGTTGGTAAAAAAAACTCCTCCAAGCTAAAGGAGCATGTTCTAACCCAATGCAAGGAAAGTGAGAACCTTGAAATAAGGTGAGACGAAATGCCAATGAGGATGACCAGAGTGGAAAAGAACATAAACAACATGATGGAGCTGAAAAACACAGCACGAGAACTTCATGAGGCATACCCAAGTTTCAGTAGTCGAATCGATCAAGCAGAAGAAAGGATTTCAGAGATTGAAGATCAACGAAATGAAATAACATGAGAAGGCAAGATTAGAGAAAAAAGCAAAAATAAATGAACAAAGCCTCCAAGAAATATGGGATTATGTGAAAAGACCAAATCTACATTTGATCAGTGTACTTGAATGTGATAGAGAGAATGAAACCAAGCTGGAAAACACTCTTCAGGATATTATCCAGAACTTCCCTAACATAGCATGGCAGGTCAACATTCAAACAGAAAACACCACAAAGGTAATCCTTGAGAAGCGCAACCCCAAGGCACATAATTGTCAGATTCACCAGGGTTGAAATGAAGGAAAAAATGCTAAAGGCAGCCAGGAAGAAACGTTGAGTTACTCACAAAGGGAAGCCCATCAGACTCACAGTGAATCTCTCGGCAGAAGACCTACAAGCCAGAAAAAAGTGGGGGCCAATATTCAACATCCTTAAAGAAAAGAATTTTCAACCCAGAATTTCATATCCAGCCAAACTAAGCTTCATAAGTAAAGGAGAAATCAAATCCTTTACAGACAAGCAACTGCTGAGAGATTTCGTTACCGCCAGGCCTGCCCTGTAAGAGCTCCTGAAGGAAGCACTAAACATGGAAAGGAACAACCAGTACCAGCCACTGCAAAAACGTACCAAACTGTAAAGACCATTGACACTATGAAGAAACTACCTCAACTAATGAACAAGACAACCAGCTAACATCAAAATGGTAGGATCAAATTCATACATAACAATACTAACCTTAAACATAAAGGGGGTAAATGCCCCAGTCAAAAGACACAGACTGGCAAATTGGATAAAAACTCAAGACCCATCAGTGTGCTGTATTCAGGAAACCCGTCTCACATGCAAAAACACATATAGGCTCAAAATAAAGGGATGGAGGAAGATTTACCAAGCAAATGGAGAGCAAAAAAAAAAAAAAAAAAGAGGAGTTGCAATCCCAGTCTCTGATAAAACAGACTTTAAACCAACAAAGATCAAAAGAGACAAAGAAGGGCATTACATAATGGTATAGGGATTAATGCAACAAGAAGAGCTAATGATCCTAAATATATATGCACCCAATACAGGAGCACCCAGATACATAAAGCAAGTTCTTAATGGCCTACAAAGAGACTAGACTCCCACACAATAATAGTGGGAGACTTTAACACCCCGCTATCCATACTAAACAGATCAATGAGACAGAAAATTAACAAAGATATCCAAAACATGAACTCAGATCTGGACCAAGTGGACCTAATAGACACCTACAGAACTCTACAGCCCCAAACCACAGAATATACATTCTTCTCAGCACCACATCGCACTTATTCTAAAATTGACCACATAATTGGAAGTAAAACACCCCTCAGCAAATGCAAAAGAATGGAAATCATAACAGTGTCTCAGACCACAGTACAATTAAATTAGAACTCAGGATTAAGAAACATACTCAAAACCACACAACTACATGTAAACTAAACAACCTGCTCCTGAATGACTACTGGATAAATAGCGAAATGAAGGCAGAAATAAAGATGTTCTTCAAAACCAATGAGAACAAAGACACGATGTACCAGAATCTCTGGGACACATTTTTTTTTTTTTTTTTTTGGGAGAAGTGGGGCTTTATTAAGGTCTGGTAGATATGGTGGAGGTGGAAGTGGAAACTGGGCCTAGGAAAGGGCAGAAGAAAGGCAAAGGGCCCCTTGGAGCAGGAACCCATCCCTCTCGGCTTCCACCCAGCACCCCCCATCCCAGGTTCCTTTCTTCAACCTCCCCCTGCCTCCGGGAACACAGAGCACCAAGAACTGACAAGCTGGAACCCACCCGGGGCCACAGCTTGGGGCAGAGTCCAGGCTTCTCTGTCCGTGCAGTGGGACGATCTGGGGATCTCAGCGAACCTCCTCTCCCTCATGCCAGTTTAAGTTGGGAAGCGCCTTCTCTGTCCCCCAGAACAGAACAAACTCTTGTTCTCTGTGGTTGGGGAAAAGGTGTAGGGGGCGTGGACACAGGAAGCAGGACCTGGGAAGAAGCTGAGCTGAATTCCCCTAGGGCCCAGGTGGAGCCCCCAGGGGAGTTTCTGAGACTCCACCTTTATAGACTTGCCATTTCTCCACTTTTCCTTCCCAGTGACTGGTGAGCAGCTCAGAGTCTGGGCCAGGGCAACTGGTAGGACAGTGGGGATCTGCCCAGAGTCATCTGTGGGTTTCAGATGAAGGTTTCCCCAACACCAAATTCAACTATATGTACGCAGGGCAGCACCCACCTGCGGCAGAGGGAATAGCCGCTGGGGGCTAGTAAGAGTAGCCACCCTTGGGGCCAAACAGCTGGGCAAGGACAGCAAGCTCTGGGAGGTAGGCGGGACTCTCGTCCAAGTGGGACAAAGGGACCGTGTCCTCCTCACTGACCGGCCGGTCAAACTCGGCCTTCAGAGCTGGACGCTGATTGTCCGGGAAGGCCAAAGAGAAGAGGGCCTCGGGCTCACACACAAACTTGTACACGTAACGCTCTCCAGCCACCTTCTGCATGATGCCTTTCTCATAGTAGTATCGGAGCGAGCGGCTCAGCTTGTCGTAATTCATGGCTGGCCGGTTCTTCTGGATGCTCCAGAGCCTGGCAACCTCCTCAGGCTCAATGAGCTTGAACTCCATTCCCCGGCCCGTCCAGGCAATGAAATGGGCATTTGTTGGGTCATCCAGCAGGGCCACCAGAAATTGCCACAGCTGCAGGGCACCCCGGCGCTGGTAGGGTGGCCCCTCTCGAAATGCACCAACCCCTTCCTGCTTGATGTCTCCTTCAAATTTCTCAGGGACAACGCAGACATCATCTGGGAATGGTCGCAGAGTTTTCTCATAGCCATAGCCCATGGCCCCGTCACCTGGAGAGGGCCCGGGGAAGCCCTCTGTGTGGAGGTACATTGATGCACACCCGGTGAGATCTGAGTCGTAGGTGAAGTCCGTCTGCTCCTGTTTGATCACCACCCCCGCCCCTGGGTACCTGTGCCCATTGAGACCCCACCCTGGTCCATGGTCGGCTGTTCCGCCTGTTCATACAGGGGGTCATGGTATTCTTGCTTGAAGCTCTGCTGGGGATAGGGTGGGCAGGGCTCCGACAGCTGGTGTTGGTAGGGGGCTGGGAGGGGTTCCCGGCCTCCTCCCTGAGATGTGAAGTTGTGGCAAATGTCCAGGGGCTGCTGGAAGACGGAGCTATGTTCCCCAAGGTACCCATGGCCAGGGTGGGGCTGGGAGGTGCCAGAGGATCTCAGGAAATTCCGTTGCTCTGCCCGGGGAAAGGGCTGCAGGGGTGACTGTCCAAGGACACCAGGGGCAGGGGACTTGATGGCAATTTGTCTGGGGGGGTCATAGGCACCGGAGTAAAGGCACTGCTCGCCATGGTGGTAGGGGAGTGGCGGCTTCCTGCTGCAGGACAGGGCCCGGTCTCTGCGGGGACTCTGGGGCTCCTTCTTGATCCTGGTGGTGGGGCTGTGGAAAGTTAGGTTTTCTGAATGGAAATCAGGAACAAACTGCTCATCACTGTCTGGTACCTGAGCTTCAGCGAGCCACGTCTCCTGGAAGTGACTTAGATCCTGGAAGAGATCTTCGGAGTCGGAGGGAGGCAGGGAGCCCGGGTCCATGAGCTTCCCCTGCGGGACCATCAGCGTTTCGCGCAGGCTCCCATTTCCGGGCGATTTGCTGCTGAAGGTGTAGGGCACTGGCTGGTCCAAGTATCCGCCTTTCATCCTCCGCTCCATCCGGGCGCTCCCTGCGGCTGCAAGGCTGGGGACCCTAGCAGGGGCCGAGACCTTAGGCCGGGGCGTCTAGGCTGGAGCCTCAAAGGGTTCCGAGCATACCCTGGGGCCAGCACCAAGGGCCGCGAGGCTAGGCCGGAGCAAGGCGGCCCCTGCCTCTGGTTCCCAGCGCACCGACTTGTTTTTCGTGTGCCGCAGACAGTTGTGAGCCCGAGGGAGCAGCTGATTGGTGCATTTCCTTTGCTCGGCCTCGGCTCTCTCTCCCCCCAACCCTCTGGGACACATTTAAAGCAGTGTCTAAAAGGAAATTTTTAGCACTAAATGCCCAACAGAGAAGCAAGGAAAGATATAAAATTGACACCCTAACATCACAATTAAAAGAACTAGAGGAGCAGGATCAAACTCAAAAGCCAGAAGGCAAGAAATATCTAAGATCAAAGCAGAACTGAAGGAGATAGAGACGTGAAAAACCCTTCCAAAATATCAATAAATCCAGGAACTGGTTTTTTGAAAAGATCAACAAAATAGATAGACTGCTAGCCAGAATAATAAAAAAGAAAAGAGAAGATTCAAATAGATGCAATTAAAAAAATGATAAAGGGGATATCACCACTGACCCAACAGAAATACAAACCATCAGAGATTACTACAAACACCTCTATGCAAATAAACCAGTAAATCTAGCAGAAATGGATAAATTCCTAGAAACTTATACCCTCCCAAGACTAAACCAGGAATAGACCAATAACAAAGTCAGAAGTTAAGGCAGCAATTAATAGCTTGCCAACCAAAAAAAGTCCAGGTGGTCCTGGACTTTTGGGTTCATAGTCCAGGATTCACAGTCGAATTCTACCAGAGGTACAAAGAGAAGCTGGTACCATTCCTTGTGAAACTATTCCAAACAATAAAGAAAGAGGGACTCCTCCCTAAGTCATTTTACAAGACCAACATCATCCTGATACCAAAACCTGGCAGAGACACAACTAAAAAAGAAAAAAAATTCAGGCCAATATCCATGATTAACATTGACACAAAAGTCTTTAATAAAATACTGGCAAACCGAATCCAACAGCACATCAAAAAGCTTATCCATCATGATCAAGTCGGCTTCATCCCAGGATGCAAGGCTGGTTCAACATCCACAAATCTATAAACAAAATCCATCACATAAACAGAACCAAAGACAAAAACCCCATGATTATCTCAATAGATGCAGAAGCCTTCAACAAAATTCTACAGCCCTTTATGCCAAAAACTCTCAATAAACTAGGTATTGATGGATCATATCTCAAAATAATAAGAGCTATTTATGACAAACGCATAGCCAATATCACACTTAATGGGCAAAAACTGGAAGCATTCCCTTTGAAAACTGGCACAAGACAAGGATGCCCTCTTTCACCACTCCTGTTCAACACAGTATTGGAAGTTCTGGCTAGGGCCATCAGGAAAGAGAAAAAAAATAAAGATTATTCGAATAGAAAGAGAGGAGGTCAAATTGTCTCTATTTGCAGATGACATGATTGTATATTTAGAAGACCCCATTGTCTCAGTCCAAAATCTCCTTAAGCTGATAAGCAACTTTAGCAAAGTCTCAGGATACAAAATCAATGTGCAAAAATCGCAAGCATTCCTAAACATTAATAACAGGCAAACAGACAGCCAAATCATGAGTGAACTCCCATTCACAATTGCTACAAAGAGAATAAAATACCTAGTTACATTCATATTTGTTTGATAAAACTGAAACATATATACTGAGTTACAAATTTATTAACTTGAATTACAGGCACTTGAAGCCACTATTCTAAGTTTGAAGGTGTTAAGTTTCTTAAGCCATTAATTTGTTTATTTTTATTAGTGAGAATATATACTGCTACTGCCTTTATATTTCTAAAACAATCATCATGTGCCTCCATCTTTAATAATTCAGTCAGTTACACAATTATATATTTCTTTAGTAGTCTGAAGATTTTTCTCTTATGGCTGATGAGTCTGATTAAATACAATTGCTTTTCCTCTATAGATAGTGTCTACTACCTCTGTTAGCATCTTGAGACTCCCTTTTTCATGATGCTCTGCAGTTTTACTTTGATAGCTGACTTAATTTTATTATTCTCAACACTTACAGCTAATTTCCCATCTAGAGACATTTCTTTCTTCATTTCTAGTAAATGCTGTGTGATTATCACTTTGAGTGTTATTTTTCTACTGTCTTTCTCTTCTTGGCCATTTGTCAACATTTATTAGCTAAAATTCTATTAAATCTATTAGTTTATCCTCCAAGTTTCACAAGTCTTCTCATGTTTTTTGTATCTTACTGTCTCTAACTTATTAATTTCTTCTTAATTAGCATCATATTTATGCATTCTCACTTTCACTAGTCCAATATAATTTTTATTTTATCAATTGAGATTTCTTAATTTTAATTATATTGACCATATTTGCCATTTCCAAGATAATTGTTTTAACTTTAATGAATTTTTTTCTTACAAGTGTAATTTTGGCTTCTTGGATGCCCCTATTTCTTATTCTTTTCATAGTTTTTTTTTTCTTTGCCTCTTTGATAAACCCCAAATAAATGTTCTTCAGATTCTTCTATCATTTTCATTTTCATTCATCTTCTGCTTGGTGGGGATTTTTAAGCTGCCTTTTTAAAGAATCCATGTGTTGTATAAATTGAATGTGCCCATTTTAAGGGGTTATTTTTTAACCTATCTTTCAATATTCACTTCTCTCTGCTGGGTGGTTTTCTAGTGGACTTCATTCAACCTCTGTGCCTTAAACTGCAGCCTTTTCTCTTATAATTGATTTGAGTTTTTGTTTCACAGAGCATATGAGAGCTTGCAGAGTCAATAACTTGCAAGGGACTCACTCAGGCTGGTCATAAGGCTGTGATCTCTAAGCTTTTAGGGTTAGTCACTTCCTACAAGTCACTGGCCTAGGAGTAGATGGCACAGCTTTAATTCAGCCTTGCTTCCCTGCGGGGCGGCCTTCCCCAGTCCTTGGTTTAAGTAAGTTCTTTTTAGACTCTGTCTCTCTGTAGCATCTTTGTAGCCTGGAATCTCAGAATTCTGTTTTAGTCATTTTCTCTGCTTTTAATTTCTGTTCTGTTTATCACTCAAAGAAAAATCTATATATATTTTTTTTGAGATTAGCTATTTCTATTTAATTTTCGTTTTAAAATATATTTTATAAATCATTACTGTGATTTTAAAGTCAGAGATAGCCTCAAAGTGTAGACTTTTAACAGTGTCTTGACCAGGGATCTTGACTCTTCATAGGAAAAATGAACTATTGCATTTTCCTGTTTTTAATACTGTGAATTTCCAAAGGCTAGAAGGAAGACATTTTCATCCTCATTCACCCACACCTAATAATCTATGGCATACTATAAGCACTTAATAAATATTGAATTGTATTTAATGGCTCTTGTCATCTTTTAAACCTGAGGGCAAAAAGTTCATTCTATGTGAACTGCAAAGTTAAAGAAGAAAGACTTTACCCCATCCATTTCGTACATTCAGCTATATGAAGGATCGAAGCCTGAATTTGATTGTGAAGTTTAGAACTCTCTGATATTTTTAATACTTAAATTTCCATGAATCTAGTTTTGGGTAACTAGTTAGAGATGTAACAAAAGGACATATAGTTTTCCAGATTTAATGAAATGGAATACCAAGAAGGAAACAGATTTTACATCTTATATTTTTTATATGTGCCAATAACTGGGTTTTATTCAGAGTTTTTGTTTTGTTTCATTTCATTTTATCTGTTTTCTTTTTTTGGTCTAGCAAGTTAAACTACACATTCACCTAAAAAACTTTCAGGAGGATTGTAATGGCTAAACAAATGGCAACTTCTTGACAGGAGGTGGGGCGTGGGAGGGAGGATATTCAGAAAGGTTCATATAAATAATCAATACAGACTAATCTTAATTTTTAAGTTTTAGTCAAACCTCAGTGCACTACTTTATATCTATAATTATTGTAATTGGTTCTGATTGTTTAACTACCCTAATTCATATGCTAAAAATAATTTAAGACAAAGATCATTATCCTCAATTGGGCTACAAACCCCTGAGCCACAGACCAGTACTCATCTGTGGCCTGTTAGGAACCAGGAGGCACAGCGGGAGGTGAGTAGCAGGTGACTCAGCATCATCACCTGAGCTCCAACTCCTGTCAGATCAGCAATAGCATTAGAGTCTTAAAGGAACATGAACCCTATTGCAAACTATGCTTATGAGGGACCTAGGCTGTGTGCTCCTTTTGAGAATCTAATGCTTCATGATCTGAGTAGAACAGTTTTACCCTGAAACCATTCCCTACCTTCATCCATGAAAAAATTATCTTCTATCAAACCGGTCCTTGTTGTTCAAAAGGTTGAGGATCACTGTCCTAAATGATCCACAAAGGTGTCACAAATACAGTAGAATAATTCTGTATTAAAATCACGCTTATTTATATATTCTTTAGATACGCTTTCTCATAAAATTTTCACAAGAAATGTATGGGTTGATTTTTCATTTTGTAGGTGAGGAAATAAACATTTAGTAGTACAGAGGAAGCCACAGCAAACTGTGATCTGAACCCCAGGTTGACCGATGTTTCAGACTCCTGGCCATCACGGTTCACTTCCCTACATGTGTTTCAACACTTCCCTATAGTCAGTAAAGTGTTACTGATTCTACTGGCTTTGAATTTGAATGAGAGGATTAGAATGAAGTGGTTGTGTATATACTTTAATTAAAATATTTTCAGTTTAATTTACTACAGTTGAAACAGGATCTAAAATATGACAAAATCTTCTAGGGCATCTTTGCCTTCAGACACGGCCCTCAAAAACCTTACATTTTGTCAAACCTAAACATAACACAGAGTGATCTTCATGAAACATAAATCCTACTTTTCATACTCTATTAAAATATATATATATACATATATATACACATATATATATGCATTTTAACACCCTCTTGCTTTTCTTTCATCATCTTATCTTGGATATTTGTAAAC